TTTTTTAAGATTTTTTTCCAAAAGTTTGGGTGGTGCTTAAAATTGGGTGGTGCTTAAAATCGGAAGAATACGGTAATCAAATAAAATTTAAATAAACCAATTATATTTAATAAATTATTTAGGTTCATAATAAATAAATATGGAAGACCAAAAAAAAAATAACCAAGAAAATATAAAAACAACTGAATTGAAAAGTGATTCACTGAAATCTCCGCGAACTTGGCAAAGTTCTAATTTACTTTGCCCCCATGGAGAAGGCAAAATGTTCTCGATGCGTCATATAGAACCTGTTTCATCTAAAGAGTTATCTGGAAATAAAAAAGTTTTGGATCAAGAAACTTTAATTATTGATTATAAAATAATCGAGTCAGATGATCAAGTAAATGATGATATTATTAGCGAGTTAGAGAGACACATTAGAGAGCTAGAAACAGTTCTCTACATTACTTCTTTTGATATTTGTCCAAATAATAATCACAATATTCAAGAAAATATGAAAACTATTGAATTGAAAAGTGATTCGCATAAATCTCCGCATACTTGGCAAAGCTCTAATTTACTTTGCCTCCATGGAGAAGGCGAAAAGTCATCGATGCGCTATAAAGAACCTGCTTCATCTAAAGAGTTATCTGGAAATAAAAAAGTTTTGGATCAAGAAACCTTAATTATTGAGAATAAAATAATTGATTCAGATGCTCAAGTCATTAACAACTACAAGGCTCAATCAGAAAATGAATATTTTATTAGCGAGTTAGAGATATACATTAGGATACTAGAAGAGGAGTTAGAAGAAAATGTACGAGAATTAAGAATTAAAAATGAAAGGCTAGAAGAAACAGATCTCTACACCATTCTTGTTCCTTTTTTGTCCAAAATGCGATATTAATAATTAGAAAACGAAAATTCCGACTAGGACTAGAAATAAAGAATTAAAGCAATATTATTGATAAATTTATAAGTTATTATTTATTATAATAATTTTAACATTTAAGTAAATTAGATATTTATTTATGTATATTGTGCTAATTTTATAAGTTGATTAATTAAGTATTTATGTAAGTTAGATATGTACTTATGTATATTGTGCCAAATTTTATTAGTAATATTTAAGAATAATTTTAGTATTAAGTAAGTTAGATATATTTTTATGAACTGTATAAGTAGTAATAATTAAGATTGATTTTATATTAAGTAATTATAAATTTTATTTGATTTTATAAAACTAAATAATAAATTATATGAAGTTTATGTTGAATTCATCAAAGTTAAACAGCATATTATTTATTATCCTAATTAATTTTTTTTTGAAAATTCCTGCAAAATACGCTTTTTCTTGTTTGTTTGTTTTCAAAGTTTACGATAAAAAAACGTACAAAACTAAATAACATAAAATCAACAAACTTGAGTAGGAACGGGTTAATTTTTAACCTTTAAACATCTACAACAAACTTATTCCATATCGTTATACAAAATTCCTTTTAGTTTACTAATTTCATAAGCAATGCATTTGATTGGTGGAGTTTGCCACGAAGTGGTGAAGTTACGTATAATTATTCGGCACTGATCATAATAAACTTTCTATTATTTCCTATCATTACCATTAATTTCTTACTCTTTTCTATTACAATTTTATCATAACAAAGATACATTTTTATTCAAAATTAAAATTATCAATCATAAATCTTTTTAGCATTTTTTATTATAAAATAGGTCTAAAAAAATTTAAATAATGAAAAATAGAAAAAGAATCACAGGCAATAAGAATGAAGTTGCTATAGAATTAGTTCATTCTTGTTTAAAGCAACCTTTTGACAAATACAATTTTTTGTTGCGTATTTCATAAAGACTTATTTTTATTATTGCAAAATTATTCTACAAAATAAAAAGGGTAAAGGTTGTTAAGCTTAAACTGTTCGCCATTAAGTTAACAAAGATTATTTGCTAGCAGGGAGTTTAAGTACGTCTAAACTATGGAAGAAATAAACACGATTAATTAAATTGAAGGGTCAGGTCGTCTTTATTGATATAGATTTAAAGAAGAATGAATTATTTAGCGAGCAATAATAAGATTTAGAAATAAATGTTATTGATTTATTAGAGAATTGGTAGCGACTCTGCCATTTATTGAGGCAGAAATACAAGATATTTATATAAAATAGATCAATATGAAATAGATATTTAAGATAGTAAAGAAATATAAGAATTATAAGAAAATAAAGAAATTAAATATAATAAAGAAATATGTGGAATTAGAGATCGCTAAGAAATTAGTGAAATCAGAGAAATTAGAGAAATGGTAGAAAGTTGAGAATCGTGATCGTCACGATTACCATTCGTCAATTATGTTAGGCGCAGTATCATGCGTCATAACAAGACTATCACTAACAAGGTCCAGTTCGGGAAATTGGCTTTGACATCGGCAAAAGGTATATTCATGAAATTAGCATTCGGACAATGAAATTGGCTTTGACATCGGCAAAAGGTATATTCATGAAATTAGCATTCGGACAATAGTAGTATAACACCTTTACCGAAACATCCATTTCCTGAATGCTAATTTCCCGAATTCTGATATCCCCCATGTCAAAGTATGCCGAATCCAAATATCCCGAATCTTCATATTCCTGATTTCCCATATTCCGAACGGACATTCAGTGGTGTGACAAAAAAATGGCAATTTTTTCTAAAAAAAGATCAAGTGTCATACACAATTAAATATGCAAATAAAAGTCCTATCATTTTTGAGCGAAAACTTTCCCATACCCTACTAAAAATTTTAATTTATTTAATATCGAAATAACTTCATCCAAGCAAGAAAGGTTGCTAAGGAACATTCGGGATATAGAAATTCGGAAATATGGACATTCGGGATATTGGGATTCGGAAAATTGGGTATTCGGGATATCAGAATTCGGGATTCGGAAATTAGGATTCTGGAAAATGTCTTCAGAAAATTGGAATTCGGGAAATTTGCATTCGGGTACTTGTCTGATAAGGCAATAAATGTAATTCACAAAGACTAATTAAAAAATACAATACAATAAAGAAACAAAAATAAATTTAATGATTAAGTAATTTTTTAATAATCGTTTAGCAAGCGTAATTTTCGTTATCATTTATCGGTCAAACGCATTTTGATTTTAGAATGTCTTTAGCCACGATTCGCATTTAATTATTTATGCAAATATATAAAAATATTCTATTCAATTTCGCGATTATACTTTCTTGCTTATTCTTTCAATAATTATATATTTATAAATATTTAATCACTAAATTTTAATATTAGATTTAGATATGAGGCGTCGTCCTCCTGTTCAAAAGTCCGGGATTCCACCCCGGATGCAATCATGCAGATCGGTACGAACCTCCCTCCTCGTACCGTAATTAAAATTCTCTGCTATTTTATAAATATAAACATTAAAGAACTGAATGAACAAATAGGTAAACAATTTAAATTAGCCCATTAAAGATATTTATTTAGACAATGGAGAATTCTTAGAATTAAAGCTTTAAGTTTGAAATCTTTTAAATATAATAAATAATTTGATTAGATTATTTATAAAATGAATAAATCGTGTTAAAAGAACATTTTTGCAGTAGAAAAATAATGGAAAAATGGATTTTATTTTGTTTCTACTTTTCGTAATTCTATTGGATGTTAGACAAAAATGCGTTAAAATTTCAAAATTTAAATTCGTGTAATTCTAAGAAATCGTGAGGTTTAAAGGAAAGTAGACATCATTTTCCGAAGAGAAATAACATCTGCATTTATACTTTTGTTTAATCATTTTGATCTTTCTAATAATTTTAATAATTATTATTTAATGAAGTCATACGTTTATTGAAATTAGCTGATAAAATATTTAAAGAAAATGTTGAGTAAACTTGCATTTGATCGTTAAAACATAAATTCTTTCAGGTTCACATTTGAATTCATCATTACATGTAATGCAATTGACCGACAAACATTGATAATTTAATCAAATTGTGTACATATGTCAATGTCAAGTAAAATGCAATTAGTAAATTGTTTGTTTCAGAAGAATATTTGGACGGGAAGATTTATTACGATCGTCACCCGTAAAACAGTACATTTATTTATTTTTTATTTTATTAAATTGAATCAAGTCAAGAGACATAAGTAATCATATGAACTTATTGCGCAGAAGTTGTCCATTTAACTTGTTCTTAAATCCTGTCATTGAGTAGATTTCCGTTTGAAAATAGGATATTCGAATATTCGTTGGCAAATAAATAAAAATTAAGTATTCAAGTATTCAAATCTTAAGTTTTGATTTTCAAATATTGAAAATGAATTGAGTATCAAGAACCCTCAGCAAGACTTATTTTATGACTCTAAGAAAGAAAGAACGTTCCAAATAAAAGAAAAAAATTAAACTAATGTAATCACAAAAAAATGATTTAAAACAAATTTGATACTATATGAACCACATTTTATTTTTCGTCTTTAGACTGCTTGCTTAAATACTGTTTCATTTTGTTTTATTTAAGATCTGGAGATTTTAAAGGAACGCGAAATCATATTAAAATCATATTTCAGAGATTATATTTATTTGAAGCGGAATGTAGATTTAGAACTTGCCTTCTTCTTGATCCTAGATTTTAACTTCATTGTTAATGCATTGCAAATCTTCGTGTAATAACTATTAATACATATATACTATTTTTATTCATATTAGTACACTGTACTTTAAAATTGCAACTTTTAAATACCGCTTTTCGGATAAATTGGTTATAAGTTATAAAAAATATATATATTTATATAATTTTTTTTAAGAATTTTCTATACTAAACTTACTCTAAAATAATTTTCTCACAATGTCGTCTATGCGTCAATAAATATTTGTCAAATGGCTGAAATGATTTAAAATATGCCGACATTTAAATAGTATGTGACCTTACATATTTAAACTACTGCATGTAATGCGAAAATTAAATAATTGGACAATAGTTTCATGCTTTGCTAAATATATTTTGAGAGAGAATTTTTATTCTATTCACAAAATTTTTTTTAATTTATATACCATTGCCAAAAATGATTATATAAGCATTTGATTATTTAGAAATTGTAGAAGCGTTACACAAAATGAACTCTTTTCGTTAATTTGTCATTTGAAGCAGACTTTTAGAATTTATTTTTAAAAAAAAAAATTACGCAAGGACCATAGCACTTCGGAAGAAATAGGAAGAACTCCTTTTTATGAATCTTGGAGAGCTGTTATAGCAGCGGTAAAACTCATTTTAGCAAATAATATGGTATGACAAAAGTCGATATTCGTTTTCGATTTTATAGTTTCTGCGGTACCTATCATGTCCGAAATGATCATTTCGGATATCCACAAAATGCGCACTCAAATAAACACTTCGGATAGTCTCGAACAACCACTTCGGATATTCAAATGATCAGCTCGACTATTTTACAGTATGATCCAATGAACCTAATGTATTTTAAATAATAATTAAATTTTTTGAACATATCATTTTAATTTCCTATGTGTCTGTAACGGTTCAAAGAGATCATTTATCCGAAATGACAATTCGTGATGACCTAAGTGATCATTATTCATTTGGGATAATCATTATCATCTACCGTAAGATATTAAACAAACGAAATGTTTGAAACGTTACTAACATTACTATATCGGATCGATATTAGGAGTTGTTTCACAACATATAGCCTGTGAACAGAAATGTTGGTCAAGCATTATGACCAAATTATATGAATTTCTAGCAAAATATTTTTGATGTGTGTGTGTAACATCAAACCACGAACACCACGACCTATAGACTATACACTAGCAGGGAAGGGAGGGTGGTAAGAAAAATCGTAAATGGGTGCAGGAAAGAAGAAATTGGTCTAGGAGTCATGTAACAGTCTAAATTCACTTCATTGTTTACGAAAATTGATTGGCGCAGTAAGTGAACGGCATATCTTTCCAAGTTTTCCGTTCCGCTTCAATTCATTGAACTTTTGTCGTCCAAGGAAAATTCGCATTGTATAAAATATTTAAGATAGAATATATACACAATAAAAATCCTTCCTATTTAAAATAAAAGATATTTATTTATCTAAAAATATCGTACGTAACATTATTTACTATTTTAGACCATTCTTTTAGTTGTAACAAAAAATAATCCTTATGAGTGTTGTTATGTTACACAAAATTGTGTTCAATAGATTTTATTCGAGCATGACCTAAAATTTTTTTTTAATAATTTTTTTTTACTTTTTTTTTGTAACCAATCATATGCTTTTAAACAAGGCTTGTTTGTATGTAAATGAGAAGAGAGATGCTATATTCTAAAATGTTATTATTGATTGCGCAATGTATTATCAATTCATTTAAATTAATGTGCAAAGTTGGCATAAATGCCGATTTTAAAAGAAATAATAATGATTTTTGAGCTGTCACTGAAAATCAATATTTCATTAAAATGAACGTAACAAATTAATAAAATTTTTTAAAATCAAATAAATGTAAATTATTAAAATGATAAAATTAAATACAAAAATTTGCGTTACAATTACTGTGCCACAAAATTTACCAATCGCTAATTTATTTTGTATATTTTAATTTTACATTTAAGTATTCATTTGCTAACATTACAATTTAAATTAATTTAAATAGAACCGACTCTCAAGTTCTCGCAGAACCGAATGTCAAGTGGCTCTGAGTCGCTCCAATTGGAGCTTTTCCCATCCCTACTTATAAGCCACATACGTTCTACAGCAATACTCGTTGCTTAAATGTACTAATTTAAATATCAATTAATAAGGCGATACTAATATTGATTATAAATATTATGTAATTTTTAAATTTTGAAACGTGTATTTCATGAGTCGCCGTCCGAAACCCGGTTCGGTACGGTTCGGGCTGATCAGTAGGTACGATTTTGCAGATCAGTCATATATTTTGGAAAACGATTCGTAATGATTTTCCTCCCTTCAACGATCAACTTTATTTAATTATTAAGGTATTTTTTTTTTATTTTTTAATTAAGAACGCTTTTTGACGATCCTAGTATAGAATGCAAAAATTAATTATTGAGATATGGTATACAAAGCAGGGAGGAGGAAAACGGCACAGTATTTTGTCCAAATATATGGTCATAATAATATTATAGAACCAGTATGTAATAATGAAGCAATAAATATTTAATAAAAATTAAATTCGGCACTCTGTACTTTCGGAATCAATTTTTAAATGTTGATCGAATGCGAAATTACTACGGCTATCAAAAATATCTAAGGAATATCATATTATTAACTACACGAACACAAGTGTCAATCAGGGCTTTTTATACATTAAAATCGAAAGGACATCTTGCCTAGAGCTTACAGGTCATTTTGGCCGGATGACAATTCGTCCCGTGGTCAACTTGTGCAGTGTTCAAATCGATCTCCTAAATCTCAGATCAACTTACTAACTATTTTAAGTAAACAAAACAATCGGGATTACTAATGAAAAATAACAATACAACAGTTTTATTGATTTAATAATTAAATACATCGCTTTGTACAATTATTAATTAGCTATTGTAACACTATCTTTTAATAATAAAAGAAGAAAATATGGTTACTGTACTATTTTGTTTTGGTTTATCTATACTTTTGTATCTTTACAATAAGTTTTTAAAATTCAGCTATCGTGAGCATTGTGGATCTATATCAAAACTAACTTATATAAATATTCATTTTCACTTTGGGTAATTATCAAATGTGATAACCAATATGAAATTGTCACCCTCGGGATTTAACTGCGCGAAGGTGGCTATGACGATCAATATGTTAATTCTTGCGGATTGACCTTTAGGATCATTCAGACCCCATGGAATGATGAATGACATGTGTCAAAATGATCACTATTAACATCAGGGATCAATTAATTAGCATTTCCATCATCCAAGCCGCAAGCCTCTTGATAGTTTCAAAGAATGCCATAGCAAAGCCATGGGAAGTAAATCTGATATAAAATAGCTTCGTTTCGCTAGATAGCATTTGAACAATATTTTATTAGATAGTTCTATTCTCTTTGGCCTATTACAGAGGCAGCAATGGTTGCATTTATTGTATTATTTCACATATTCATTTAATAAATTGTTTTCCTTTATTCTTTATAATATAAAAAACTTTATTAATTTCTTTATTCAATTGTTTTACATTACAAATTCGCTATAATTCAAAATACATAATAATCATAACATCGCCACTTACGAATTTAGGAGGTGACAATACAATAAATCTTTCTCTATTCCTTGGGTAAATTTTGCGAATGGTTTCTTTCGGAAAGTTTTATTCTTTTTATTTTAAGATGAGTCCTATTTCAATACTTGGAATTGTATATGATACGATATTTCAAATATAGAAATAGTTTTTCAATTCTTCATATGCGGCAATACATTGGTTCAGCTCATAATTTCCAATTATATTCTCTCACTTTGTTTTTACTTCTTTTGATATCATAATCATAATAAGATACATAAATTTAACTTGTATCTTTATTTAATTTCAACGGAATCCCTTATTATTAATGTGATAAAATGATGTTCGATTTAACGAGATTATTGAATATGAAATCTTAATTGCCGACTAAACTTTACCTCAATAACATGACTCAAGTCTTTTAATAGTATAATCAAATTTTTGACATTTCTATCTTGCCATCGTTTATAAAATAAAGGTCTGTGTGAATTGTGATTATAAGAACAGATTACTTTCTTTTAAAATTTAAAATAAATAACCTATAAAATTCACGTGAAGTTTAGTTCGGATTTGTATTTGAGTTTCGGAGTTTAGGATTATATTTCTGTTTTTCATCAAATCCGAAATTGTTTAGGACGAGGTTTAGCCCGAAATATTACGTATTTTCAATGAACTTATAGTAGTTCTTTATATAAATAGAGTACCAAAATTGAAGCGTACCAAAGTCGTGTTATTCAAAATATTTCATTTGTGTTTTTTTTTCGTCGGAAACCTATCCAAGCCACGTAGCTTTATTTAATAATTCCAATTATTTTGTGTTGAATTAAAATTCCTCAAAAACAGAAATAAACTTCGAAGCTAATCTACATTAGATTTTCACTTGCAATTATGAAAGTTGCTTTCAAAACTATAAAACAAAGCATTCTAATTAAGTATGTTCAAATAAATTGCCATAAATTTACTTATATATTTATGTCAAATTATGCTTAAAAAAATAGACACAGAGTTATTAGGTCTGCATATGTTTATAATGCAAATATTCGGATACGACCAATTTACTAACTTTGGAACGTCCAGATCATCGGAATGAATAATTTATTTTTAAATTTAATAGAAATTAGTAAAATGTATAAAGCAAAAGATTTTTTAAAATATGGTTTATAAAACCATTTATTAATTATAATAATAATAATTAAAACAATTAAATAAAAATAAAGCAATTATATTTAATTCGTAACAATTTATTTATAATTAACATAATATAAATCAATAAATCTTAACAGTTAAATTTAATTAATAATTAATACATAATAAAATAAATACAAAATTAATAATTTTATCATAATAATCAATAATTCCTAATAAAGATAAATATAAAGTATTAATAATAAAATAATAAATTATTTATTAATCAGAAAATTTCTAGTAAATTGGAATTTTTTTGTAAAAAATAATACTCATCTAATGGATAACGTTTTTCAATTATTCGAGCCAATGAACTAAATGAATGTTCTGAAGAATTTGTTGATGTAACAGAAATGGCTAAATACTCTTTAGCTATCTTACTTAAAAATGGAAATTGATTTTCACTATTTTCCCACCAATATAATGGCATGATATTCCTATTAGCCTTAATTTTCAAATAAATATCAATTTCATTCACTTCCTCCTCATCAGAACTTACATCATCTTCCATCAACATATTCATGATGGATTTATTATTTAATATGTCCTCGTCATTTCGTGATTCCGATTTATTTTCTAGCTTATTGTTTGCTTCATAAATTTCGTATCTATCCTTGAGCAAAGAAGTTACCCTTCTTGCAGCATCGGTAAATTTTTTTAAATTTTTGGTTCGAGGATCCAATGTGATGGTAAGGAGCCAAACGTCTGGTGACACCGACCAATACTTATTTAATGTAATATCTAATATATTTAAAACCGAAATAACCAACCCATCTACTTTGGCCGATTCGGAGATATTTAAAACTTGCATAGAACTTTTTCCTACAATGCGAACTACGTCAGCATCCACATCAGCTGAAATTTCTTCAAAACCATTCAAGATTTCATTTTCAATATCCGTTATTTCATTATCAATAAATGAATCTACAATCATATTAGAACCCTTGAAACTTTGATCATTCGGATATTTATCCAGCATTTCTTTAAAGTGATTTTTTAAAGTAAGAATCATAGGATGTACTAATGACATGGTGATAAAATTCGAACCGTCTAAAAATCTGGTAATTTCTTCAAATCTCCCCAAAATCTTAACTAAATTATCCATGAGTTCCCATTCATCATCATCCAACATTATTCTTTTCAACTCATTTCTTTTTTCAAACTTACGATTTGAAATTTTTTCATTACATAAATAGGTTAAGGCCCTTCTCAGAATTAACAATTTCTCCCAAGAATAAAAAGAGGAATTCCATTTAGTTGGAATTTCCTTCACCTTTTTATAAACTCTTGTATAATGCAATGCTTCTTGTGCCTTTATCAGACTATCCAAATGCTTGGGTGAACTAAAAAAGTATACCAATCTTTTCACTCTCAATATAAAAATTTGCATATTTTGATTAATATTCATGGCTTTTGCTATTACAAGTTGAAGCGTGTGAGAAACGCATGGAATTCGTTCAACGTTAAATTCTTCTCCCAACAACTTAATTGCTTCGATCATACAAGCGGCATTTTCGGTTGTTATAAACGATACTTTATTAGAGATATTCCATTCATGTATGATCTCTTTTATTTTTTCTTTTATTGTTATTGAGGTAAATGGAAAATCGATCTCTTCCAAAGTTAAAAAAGCTTCTTGTGGTTTATAAGTATTTGAAATCCAATTTGCCGTTATTGCAATAATACCATGCTCTTTACTCATCCAGGTATTACAAGTTAAACAGATATTATCTATTTCTTCGAATATTTTTTTTAAATCATCTATTGCTTTTTCAAGTAAATTTTTTCCAATTTCTCTTAAATATTCCATATTTGGAATCTCATATAATGGATTCAAATCGGAAATAAATTCTTTAAGAAATTCACAATTCGTAATAGCGTTGTCATTAACGATAAGCTTTAAATATTTTTTGCTTAAGTAAAGTTTTTGATCTTCATTCAGCGTAACTTGCGTATTTGGATCATTTTGAACTTGAGCCTTAAGCTAATTAAAATAAATATTAAATATTTATTAATATATACTTAGTATAATACAAATTTTTTAAAAAAAATAAACTCTTGCATACCTTTACTTTCTCTGTAATGTTGCTAATGCCGTGCGATTTGGATAAATGATGGATCATATTTGTCGTAGTTGTACGGGTTTTCATTTTATGGTTACATATACCTTCGGGACATTTTGCTGAAACCTGTACGGGTACTTGACAATAATTCGCATCTTTTTCGGTGATGAAATATTTCCAAACAAAACTATGCTTTGGCCTTCCTTTATTGGCTACTTGTTTATGCTTTTTTAACGGTCTATCAGAATAATTACTCTCTACGATTTCCATATCATCATGCGAAGCGTAGGATTTAACGGGTGATACGCTACTTTCAACAATTTCCATAAAATCGTGTCCCAAGTTTAGATTGGAATTTTGATCCATTCCTTCTTTGTAATGGTTTACGTAACTAGACAATTTTCTTTTTTTTTTTTTTATAAAAGGAAAGGATTTTTTTGCGACAAAACCGTGAAAAATAAAAAATAAAAATATCCATCTTAATTTATATTAATTCTTTAAATATAGACGTGATGATCACGATTTTTAAATAAAGCATTAGCCAGAAATCAATTCAGAAATCTTTTTTCCTTTTTCAAGCGTCGTATTAACAGCGAATATTCAGAAGCACTCAGTTAATGAAGTTCGTTTCATTATGACTAGCCGTAAATGTTTAGTTTTTTAATCAATAACTTAACATTTTTATTCAGGATGAACATTAAATCGTTTCATAATATATATGAGCTTTATCTGAAACATCTCACTATCTTAGTTTCACCAAATAAATTAATTGTCTTGCCATAATTATTTAAAATATATTTATTTTTCTTCTGAAGGGCTTATTTTTTTGATCATCATCATATGAACATTTCGCATTACAAATCCCCAATTTTAAAATTCTGATTCTGTATGAATGATTGGTTGTACAATAGTGTATGACAAGTAGATTTGAATTATATTAATTTTCGATTTAATTGACAATCAATTACATTGTGACTTTTTCCTAAAATGGAATGTAAGGCCCAAAAATCTTTAACCGGTTAATTAACAGGTTAATTCTGCCCGAAAATTAAATTTTGGCCGGAGTTAAGATTAACTATTTTAACCAGTTAAAAAAAATCTTTGACCGGTTAAGATAACGTCTTAACCGGTTAAAAAAAAAATCTTTGACCGGTTAGCAAGATAACGTCTTAACCGGTTAATTAACCGGTTAAATATTAGCCGGTTCCAGTCTCTAATGAAATGTTTCTAATTAAATTTTTTTTTAAAAAAAAATAGATTAACCGAAATTTGGTCATTACGGAGAGGAAAAACATTTAATCGACAAATTTTATATCGGGTTAATTAAATGCGGACCATAACGTGATTTTAATAGTCGATCACCAGAATCACCAAGAAATCTTATATTAATTATTGTTTCATATTTGATCTTCAAATCTATTTTAGCCAGCTCTCGAATATACTATAAAATTCTCTCAATCAATAAATAAATTCAGGATAAATACAACCTAAACCATTTCACTTATAATGCGCCACTTTACTAATATCTAACTAAATAAGTTAATTACCATTTAAGGACCTCCCGAAATATATAGAAGCAAATAATTTTTTACTATATAAGCTGCTGTTACTTGAATATTGCTAAAATCCCAGCTGGTATATAAAAGGAAAATCTACGACAATCTAAAAAGTAATTACCGATTTTTTTTATTCGTTTTTTTTTCTTACGATAAATAAATATTTTTTTTTTATATAAGTAATATTCATTATATATTATCACAATATTATTTTGCTATAATTAAAGGAAATTCGCAAGGTAAATTAAAGGGAATTTTAATATATTTTGATATACATAGATTTATGGGGCCTTTGCATAGAAAGGGGGAAAACTGCGAGAAAAATCAAAAATAAGTTAATGCTAAATTTTAACATATTTCGGCCTAAAAATCATATTTGGCATATTAAAGTAAAATTGATTTTTCCTGGCAGTTTTCCCGCTTTCTATTGCAAAGCCCCATATTTTAATTATTATTCCTTTTATCGAATATTAATATATGATAATTTCGGATTTAGTTTCGGTTTGGGCAATATAGGAAGGTTTCGGAGTTTCGGAAAATTGCATCCTCAGGCGAAACCACTAGCAGACAGTTTCGGTTTTGGATTTTGTCGAAAGGTTTAGGTTTAGCCCGAATAATTATTCGATGATTTTTGATATTTATTAAAATGACTTTTAATATTCGTTATTCAAAATAATTTTGATATCTTTGATTTTAATATTCAAATCATTTTGATATTCATTATATTTATTAATCTAATCTTTTTAATTAAAAAAAATGTGATATTAAGTTTTAAATTGTAATAATAAAGAATCAAGAATTAAAATAATTTTTAAAAATGGTGTTTAATGAGGAAAAAAAATTTAAGTTTTTATTTTTAAAAAATTTAAATAATGGTAATAAAAAAGAATTTTTATTAAAAATATATGATGTATATGATATGATGTATTAATAATAAATAAAGAAATATAAATAATTTTCCTTTTTTATTTAGAATAAAATATGTTATCATTGAGATTAAATATTGACAAATTTGTTTCATAATCTACAATCTAAGTGGATAGTAATAATAAAGACAAAATAATTTTTTTAAAAAAAATATATACTATAATAATTTAAAAAAATAAATAATAAATTATTATAATAAAATGAAAAAAATATAATTAAAATAGTAATAATAAAATAGAAAAATTAAAATAAATAAATTTTTTTTTAAATATACACTACACTCCCTTACAAAAAATATATAACCACCCTAAAAACTAAAAAACAAATCAGATTTGATATAATTTTATATCTGTTATAACTTTTGAAGTATAAAAAACTATTTAAAAGTGTTTTTTCACTTAACTGATAGTAAAATTTTGCAGAAGTATTTGATTCTCAAAGTGAAAAAAATTCTGTCTTTTTATAACTGTTATAGTAAAATGAATGCTAAAAGTCAATTTTTTGACTAAAAAAAGGATTATGTTTCAAAAATCAGAAAGATCAGATCAGTAACATTGAAAAATCTGCTTTCAAATATTATTAATTTTGTGAATTTCTTATATAAATCATTTTTACCAATTTTAATGATTTTTAAAAACAGATTTTTTGACAACTACTGATTCAATCTTTTTGATATTAGAAACATAAGCTATCCTTTAGATAAGAAATTAACATTTGGCATTTATTTTGCTGTAACTATTCTGGATATTTTGCCATTTTGAAAATTGAATATTTTTACAAAATTTTATTATCAATTAAGTGAAAAAACTTTTAAATAGTGACTTATATTTTAAATTTATTACTTATAACACTGATTTTTTATCTTTTTTGTAATTTTTAGAGTAGTCAGATACTTTTTGTAAAAAAGAGTATATACAGTTAATCTTTCTATAAATATACTCTATATAAAAATATACCTTTTATAAGTGTACCATTAGCTTAATCCTAAGTTGGAAAAATAATGTTAAATATATGGGAGCTTTGCTATTAAAAGTGGGTTCTGAGACTATAAATTGATTTTGAGTTAAATGATGATCAAAAAATAGT